TATATTATTTATTTATTAATATATAAAACAAGAGTTTAATATATTAGCTTTAATATATAATACTAGTTTAATATATAATTTAGTAGTTATATATAATTATATATATAACTAGTTATATATATAACTAGTTAATATATAATACTAGTTTTAATATATAATACTATAAATACAAGAGTTCCTCTCTTGGATTTAATTGTACTGAACCCCAACAGCCCCTGTGTCATGGGAACATCCTCAGCAACCCTTTCATCTCCCTCCCTTTAAAATGGCATTTTTTAAACCTTGAGGATTCTCTTGGGGAGAGAACATTGTTTGCTTCCTCTGAAGCAAAATCTTCTCCTTTTGGGCAGGCAGGAATAATGTGGAGCCTTTCCAAGGTGTGCTGGTTTTTGTGAGCCTGAACTGCTTTGAGTTCTGAAAACATCCTGAATATTCAAGGCTTTGGAAAATAACTCCAAGTGAACCTGAGCTGTGTTTGTTGGGGTTTTTTAGGACTTTTGGCAAGATGGATAATTTGATTTTTAAAAACCCCACAAACAAACATTATTTGCCTTGTTGGCAATGCAGAATATTCACAGTGATGGTCATTTCAGGACTAGTTAACTTTATAGGCAGACAACCTAAACACCAGTTTATTGATTATTATTTTTGAAATAATTTCACTGGTTTATACTCCCAATAATTGTGAAGAGGGTTGAATTTTTTTGTTGTCAGTGCCAGTTGCAGTCTGTTGATTCCTAGAATAGAAATGAGGCATTGTATCCAAAAATACAAGTTGATTTCCTGTGCTGGGCAGGATTCCCTTTCCCACTTGACAACCCTCTCCTATGCTGGGAAAAGGAAATGATTGTAATCAGGTTAATGACTGAGCAGGTAAGTTTGAGAATGAAGAAAGAAGGGGGTTTAACCATTTGAGGGCAGAGTGGCTCAGTGGATTTCAAAAATCCTTGAACAAGTTTTTTGGTCTCAAAAGTGGCTGTTTCGGGGATGGGCCATCACTCCAGCAGAAATCAGGAATTATTTCTGACTCTGATAGGCCAGAGTCACTAAATTTTTTGCTGTACCCACATTTAGCAAAGTAAATGGTCCAAAACCCAACTGGTAAGTCTGCAATTGCTTTGAAAAGACACAACAAATTAAAGATATTCCTGCTTCTCTTTGGAGCCCATCCCACAGCTCGGTCACCGCCGTGCTCAGCGTTCCGTGCTTTTTGAACTGATTTGTCCAAACTTCCCTTGCTGCTCTTAAGCAGGAAACCTCAGTGAGGCCTTTTTGAACCCTGTGCCCTGCCCAGGCACATCCTGAGCAGCCCTGGCAGAAGGTGGGGCACAAACACTCGTGGTGTCCCTCAGACCTTGCCCCTTTGTGCCACCCCAAGGGGTTGGTTCGGGCACGTTCCGGGGAGGTGATGCTGGGGTTTGCAAACACAGCCTCACGCTTGGAGCCATTCTTGCCTGCTGGCTCCTTGGCAGCCTGGACTTCCTGGCTCCCTGGCATCCTGCCTGGAAGCCTGGAACCTTTGCCAAGTGCCTGGGAGCTCTCAGGCTCTCCGTGAATCCCTCCTTTCTGGCAGCTCCAGGAGGAGCAGCTCGCTCGCCCCACTGTCCTGGAATCACTTCCCAGGGTGACTTGGTTGCTCTGGGCTGAGGCAGAAAATACAGGAGGTTTCTAAACTTCCAGATTTTTGTCTTGATTTGAACAAAATGGGGATATTTCACTTTTTTTGTCCCTACAGTTCAGTTGTTTGTGGCTCTCGGGAGTGTGATGGATATTTCCTGCGCCGTGCCATTAGAAATGGAGCTCTTCCTGCATAACCAGTTTTTCTTCTGCTTTTTCCATTAAAGAGGTGTTTGCTTTTATAATATCTCAAGTACCCTCTGATTAGGGTGGCTCCATGATCTGTGCTGTCATTCCCAGAGCCTGAGCCTGTACAAACAGAGCAGAACCTGCTTTTCCCGGGCCCAGGGTGTGTGAGGAGGATCCCTGCGGAGCCTGGAAGCGCCGAGGCCGCTCTGCCTCTTCCTCTTCCAAGTCATCTGTGCACAAACCTGTGCCTGGCTTCGGTCCAGGATAAACCACAGGGATCTTCCTCTCATCCTGACGCTCTGGAGCCCGAGCAAATTAATTACAAATCACCCAACGAGCTCCGGGCCCATCGGAGTGTGGGGTGCACTCAGGCCGTTTGTTGGTCACTCAGGCCATTTGTTGGTCACTCAGGCCATTTGTTGATCACTCAGGCCATCACTGAGGTGATTACCTGTGGTACAGTAGCAGTAAAGTGTGGCTGTGTTCCTGTTCAAGCCAGTGTGCTCATTCCCAGCAGGAATGACGACGACGCCGGCCCCTTCCCAGCAGCACCGCCCGCCCACCGTGAGCCCCCTGTCCTTGGGCGCGGACTCCAGGCGACCACAGTCCCAGCAAATGTCCCCCACGCTCTCCCCTCTCTCACCCATCACTCAGGTAGGACCTCGTGGCAGGATGGGAGTTGGTTTCCTCCCAGATCCCTTGTTTTGCTCTGCACAGCCTCAAACTGACAGAGAGGGGGGGGGTTAGGTGGGATAGTGGGAAAAAATTCCCGACTCTGAGGGTGGGGAGGCCCTGGCATGGGTTGGGCAGAGAAGCTGTGGCTGCTCCATCCCTGGAAGTGTCCAAGGCCAGGTTGGATGGGGTTTGGACCAACCTGGGTTAGTGGAAGGTGTCCCTGCCCACAGAATTCCATGACCTTTAACATCCCTTCCCACCCAAACCATTCTGAGATTCCATGAGTTTCATGTCTCTTGTTCTGTAATTTCCTTCTTTAAAAGTGTTCCTTAATTCAGAGCCTCAAAAAGGGAGATTTTCCTTTCTCTTTTCTAGGATTGTGGTAAAAACCACCTGTTGGGACATGTTTCAGTGTTGTCCCAGAGTCAGCTGTGAAATTTGAAAGACATTTCCCCAATTCATGAGAAAACCTCGATTAACTTTTTAAACCAATTTCCTGAGTGTGTCTCTGTGACTGCCCACAGTGATTTCTGAGCTCAAGGTTCAACTGGGCTTTTAAAGTGTCTGTTTATTGTACACTGGGGGTGATACTGAGTCTTTTGAATTGTAGAATTACAGGATGGTTTGGGTTGGAAAAGACCTTAAAGCTCATCCAGTTTCACCCCCTGCCATGGGCAGGGACACCTCCCCCTAGACCAGGTCCTTGCCTCTTCCTGCACTGTGAAAAGCACAGTTTTTAAAATGCAAAATGAGGTTGTTTTGGTTCTCTGAGTGTGAAGGGGAATTCCCTCCAGCGTGGCTGATCCTCCTCCTCCTTTCCCAGGCCGTGGCTATGGATGCATTGTCCCTGGAGCAGCAGCTTCCCCCGTACCCCTTTTTCACCCAGACGAGTTCCCAGCAGCAGCAGCAGCCACCAGTGGCCAGTTCCCTGCCCCAGAACCCCCCGATCCTGCCGAGCTCGGGGCTGCAGAGGGGCCCTCAGCTCCCCCCTCTCTCCGTCACGGTACCTTCCACCATCCCACAGTCGCCTCCGGGGAGCCAGAGCCAGCCCTCCATGGGGATAGACATCAACTCGGTAAGTTTGGGAGCAGCTTTCCTTGGGAAAAGCCTGCAGGGAGCAGTGCAGGGGCAGGGATCAGCCTGGACAGCTCAGATCATCCTGAGCCAGTGATAAACATCATTTCAGGCAGGGTTTGAACTGTGGCTAGAGTGGAAATTCCTGGAGGAAAATTTGGGTTTAATGTGCTCTCAGGGTGGCCATTTGTCCCTTACAATTCCAGGGGAGTATCCAATTCTAATCCAATTCTGATTTGGATTAGAACATCTTAAATACATCAGCCTTTATTTTACACCTGGCTGGGCTGTTGCTGTGGGAGGTTTTCAGGGTGTTCAAGGTACCCCCAACACACTGTGGGACAGGCTGGGGGAACCCACAGAGCCTTGAGAGAAAAAACCTGCCAACAAGTATTTTCCAATCAAAAGAACGTTTGGGAAATGTTATTCCAAAAGTTATCAAGAACCAGGTGTTTTCACAGAACCCTTTTATTTCAAGGAATTTTAGGGCACCCCTTATTACCTTCCAGAATGGGATTTGTGCCCAGAAGACATGGAGTGTGTCTGGACATACATTTATGGGCAGATCCCTTTTCTTGCTCATTTTCCCATGAGCTCTTAGGAAATGTTCTGTCTGTCTCAGCAGCTGAAAATCCCAAATTCAGAGCCAGGATCAGGGAGGGGGGGATGTCCCAGCTCCTCCTGCTCCTTCTGCCCCGTGTGGGATCCTGGTTGTCCGACCTGTGGTGTCCTGGCAGTGCTGCAGTGACAGGAATTGGTTGGAGAAGGAGAAGAGATCATTGTTTATTGATCTCTCACTCGGTTGTGGGGTTTCCTTTGGGGGTGAAACTTTTGACAGTTTGTGCTGATAAATCCTTTTTGAGAGCAGCTGCTTCCCTTTCAGGACTGGAAGGGGAAGAGGGAAGGACAATCCAGCAGTGGAAAGGATTCCCACTCAAAATATGTCCCAGTGTTTTGGTTCTAATCCTCATGTAGTGCCAGTACAGCCAGTTCTGATTTCATCCTTTGCTTTCTGTGTTGCTTTCCTCATCCTAAACCTCTTTATGACCTTAACTTTTAGGGTGCTGTGCTTATATCTTTTAAAGCAACCGAAATAATTCCCAAGTAAACAGATTTAAAGGCAGTTTATCAAAAAGCTGAGCTGTCACAGCCCCACTGGCAACTTCTACCCAGCTCTTTTGTAAAGCAGAATTGAAATTCCTCTGTAGTTTGGGTGGCTGCTTGCAGTCTGCAAGTGGCAGTGCAGAACAGAAAGATATTTTCTAGAGATTTACAAAATTTGGTGTCAGAACCATTGGAAGTGCAGTGTCTTCCCACACTGCAAAGCAGCTGATTAAATTTACTGGATTGCAGGTTTTCCTCAACCATCTCTAATTTGTGAGGAAGTAGAGTGAGCAGAGCTGTGCTACTGTTGATGTTAATTAGTACAGCATTATTTAAATGCCCTTAATGTTATTAATTTGTTCAAATCCAGGGTTTTCATGATGGAAAAGAAGGTAAATCTTTGAAAACACGTCTCAGTGTAAAAGTCACTAAAATAAAGCTGCAAAACCCAGGGGGAATTCCCAGCCAGTGTCCTGGGGTGCAGTGGAGTTTTGGGGGATCCCACCCTGCAGGGTGACACCCCAGGTGTGTCAAACAGGTTTGTCACCTGCCCCCCAATCTTCAGAACATCCCCCCAGGCTCCTCAGTTTGGGGCAGAGCAGGATCCCAGAGCAGGGTGAGCACACATGTGGGCACAGCAGTGCAACTGAAGAATAAATTACATTCTTTTTGAATTAGTCCCAGCTTTCGAGACTTCTTTGCCCTAAATCCTTGGCTGACCTGATTTTTTTATGTATTTTTTTTTTTAATTGAGCATAACTGAGCCCAGGGAGGAAATATCCCCCAGTTGTGCTTGCCCACAGCTCAGACAGCCCCTGCCACGCTGTCCCCTGAGCTCTCTCCCTTTTTGGGGCGTTACCCACGGTAATCCTGCCTTCCTCCACAGCCCAGACTGCTGAAGAGGATGGTTTCTCCCCGCTGGATTTGCCAGGAGTGTGTGATTTTTGCAGGCCTCCCTCAGTGCCACGCTGTTTAACTCTGTGTCCTTTGTAGGCCTCACTCCAGCAGTACCGCAGTAATGCTGGATCCCCAGCCAACCAGTCTCCCACCTCTCCTGTCTCCAATCAAGGCTTCTCTCCTGGCAGCTCCCCTCAAGTAAGGGACTCTGTGCTTCCACAGGCCTTGCTTTGTGTGTGTTTTTAGCCCAGTCTCTCCATCACTGCCCCGTGGTTGTCTCGCTGTGACTCCGTGTGCTCCTCATGCATCTCCGACGTCTCATCCCGGCTGCACTTCCATTCAGGGCCAGAGTTTTTCAATAGCTGCTGAATTGGCTTTTTTTTATGGGACAAAGCTGCTGCTTGAAGGACTGGTCTGTGGGGGTTTTTTGGGGTGTTCCATGAACAGAACCTCCAGGGAGAATCCTTTCAATTCCCAGGATCGCGGGGGGAGCTGATGGGTAAGGTTGGGAGGGCAGAGGGGGACTCCAGTGCCTCCTGGGGCACTAAATATCCCTGGTGTGGCCAAATCTGTTTGCAGCAGGACCTTTTTAATGTGGGAACACACCCTGTGAAGGAAAACACTGGAGAAAATGCTCCCAAAATGAGCAGCTGTACCTTGTGGCTGGCAAGGAATGGGTTACCACTCTCTCCCTTGCCTGCCAGCTGGTTTTCCTTCCTCTGTGTGTATCTGCTCACAGATCCACGTGTCCTGTATGGAAGTCATAACTTGGGGGTGTGTGTGATCCTCTGAAGGGGGATTTTTACCTGCCAGCAGCAAGAAGTCAAAAACAAGCAGAGTTTGGGGGTGCCCCAGTGTTAGAAAGTGCATTTTTCAATACTGGTGCTGCTGGAATAGCTGCCCTGCAGAACCCCACCTGCAGAAACAAGGTGCAGGGAGTTCTTCCAGAGCACCCCAGGAGTCTGAAAATACATTTTCTGTCCTATCATTTGATGTTGAAGGCTGTAAGGAGGATCCTTTCTGAGTGAGTGTTGTCCCTTCATGGTTCCAAAGCAGAAACTCCCTCTCTCCTGAGCCAGGCTCAGGTCACTGGTAAGCTCAGACCTAGAGCTGAGTGTCAGGACTGACTGGATTTCCTTAAGCCTGGCTTAATTGCTTCTTAGCCTTCTCTCTTCTTCTGCTTCTGTGAGTTCTCCTGTGTCCTGTGTGTGGCTCCAAACCCCACATTTAACCCTCGGGGTGTCCTGTGGGGCAGAGCTGCTGCCACTGCTGCTGCAAACTCAGTTCTCCCGTGGGCAGCACATCCAGTTTGGATTTTTAGGTTGATTTTCTTTCCCCCTTGACATCTCCATAACTCTGTCTTGGTTTAGTCCCCAGATTTGTTGCCTCTGGTCAGTGCAAAGTGCAGCAAGTGGGGCACACACTGGGCTGTAATTTTTCCTGCTGGGGCTGTTTTATCCTATAAAATCTTCCTTAGGTTTTGCTCTTTTCAAGTGAGACACCACAACTCTGAGAGCAGGGAAGGGGATTTATTGATACTCTAGTATTGGCCTCTTAAATACCCACAGAATATTTTCTTTTTACTAAATTAAAACCCAGATGGCTTTGCTGTCTCCAGCAATGACCCCAAAGCTGCTGCTGCTGGTGGTCAGAAATATTTAAATGTGGAGAGAAGCAACAGGGGAAGAGAAACCAGTTTGGAGGGAAGATTTTGGGGTTGGTTGTGGTGATGGGGGCAGCTCCCAGGTGCCAGGATCCTTTAACCTACCCAGAGGGAAGGCAGAACCCTTCCAGCAGGAGAATATTCCCGTTGTGGAAGAGCTGGTCTTCCTTCCTGTGAGTATCTCCTCACACATCCACGTGTCCCGTGTGGAAGTCACAGTTTTTGGGGATCCTCTGAAGGGGGATTTTTTTACCTGCCAGCAGCAAGAAATTAAACCCAAGCTGGGTTTGGGGGTGCCCCAGTGTAAGGGAATGAGAGCAGGAGTGGGATGAAGTGGGTACTCCTCTTTCTCCCAGGAATTTTGGGTTCCACCCTTCCGGTGTTACTAGGGGCATCCTTTAAACCCCGAAACCCGGGATTTGCTTCGGATCGCACCCGGTTCATTCACCAGAGCTTCTCCTTCATCTTCCCACCTCTCCAAATCCTTTGCTCCCGTGTTCCAGCCGTGTGTGTGTGTGTGTGTGTGTGTGTGTGTCCAGCCAGGGATTGGAAAGCTCTGCCTGCAGCTCCAGCTCTGTGTTTGCATGGCTTCCCATCCCTTACGCCTCGGTTCCTCCTCCTCCTCTGCCCTCCCCTCACCCCCAACATCCTGCTCCCTCTCCCAAACCCGCCTGCTTTAGTGCCTCTGACCTGGAGAACATGGTAGGTATTTTTGGAATGGATCATTCCAGCCAGGGGGCTGGTTTTTCCTTGCAGTCCCCACGGCATTAACCCCGGGAGATCCCCTGCTGGCAGAACCCTCGGCCCAGCGTTCCCGCTGCTCGCGAGACGTTCTTCCCGGAGTTGTTGATAAGTTATTCCAAGGCTCTGAAGTGTTGAAGCAATGACATTTCCAGCGGGTTTCCCTTGGGAATTCCGGTGCTTGCAGCTGTAGTAACCGAGCACACTTCACAGGAGGAGCAAATCCAGTGTTTTGTTAGGAGTTACTGACCCGGACTTGCACAAACACGTCCTTGCTCTCCTGTTGATTGTTTTTCACGTTCCCCGAAGTTTTTTAGGATGGGAACGGTGCTTAGTGAAACACAGAGGTTTTAGGGTTTGCCCTGCACTTCTGGAAAGCTCCTGGGAAATTAAAGGACAGGGGTTTAAAGGGAAAAAAATACCTCGATCCTCTTCGGAGCTCTCGGATAGCAACTGGATTTCTGGTGCTGCTTTTGCTTCATGTCGAGCCCGTGACATCCCAAAATTCAGATTTGTCCTTAGAAGTGATTATAACCCAGAGGTTGGATCTGATGATCTCAGAGGCCTTTTCCCACCTCATTGGTTCCACAGTGCTGGTGCTGTTCCTGCCACTCCATTGCAGAGTTCTGGTCCTGATCCACTCGCCTGAGTGAGCTCTGGGTTCTGACCCCAGGTTTTTCAGGAGTAACAGACGGGGCAGGTTGGATAATATGGAATTGGGATAGTTGATCCAAGCATGACAGGGCAGCAAATAAGGTGTTTCAGTGGTTAAAACCCCCAAATTTTTCTTGAAATAAATTGATTTAAGTAGTGCTTTGCCTTTTTTTCTCTTATCAACTCTAACGTGGCTCTTGTGGTTGTTTGATCTCTTCCGGTGTTTGATCCCTTCTGGTGTTTGATCCCTTTGGATGTTTGATCCCTTCAGGTGTTTGTTCCCATCCTGCTCAGGTTTTTAAGGAGGAAATTTGTAGCCTTCTGCTTTTAACATGTAAATAAAATAAACCAGCAGTTGAATTTCTACCTCACGACTGAGACAATCTCTCCATGCAAATTATCTTTAACTGACATTCTCCTTGCCAATAAATGGATTTTTTTTTTCCAACTGGAATATCAAGAGTTTGTAAATTTTAAAGAAGTGATCTCTGACTTCTTTTCTATCTGGCATTTTTTTGGGAGACAGTATTCCATAGTATTAAATCACTGTCCTCACATTCTCGGTCACCTTTCAAACAACTGGTAAATTCTCGGACACTTTTAGAACAATTTATGAATTTTGGTCACTTTTAGAACAATTGATGAATTTTGGTCACCTTTAACTGATGAATTTTTGTCACTTTTAGAACAATTGATGAATTTTCGTCATTTTTAGAACTACTGATGAATTCTTGGACACTTTTAGAACACTTGATGAATTCTTGGTCACCCTTAAAATAACGTATGAATTCTTGGTCACCTTTAATTGATGAATCCTTGGTCACCTTTAGAACAGTTGATGAATCCTTGATCACCTTTAATTGATGAATCCTTGGTCACCTTTAATTGATGAATCCTTGGTCACCTTTAGAACAATTGATAAGTGATGGACAATTATGCTAAACCCTCGTGGTGCCGGAGGGGACAGTGACTTTAGCAAGGCTGAGGAATTCCTCCTGGAATTCTTGCCCATCCCACGCTTCCCTGGGCTTCCTCCTCACCTCTCCTGCTCCTGTAAAATGATTTTAAACCACAACTCTTGTCCTTGCAGAGCCAGCCCCAGCCCCACCTGGGCTCTCTTCAGTGCCCCCAATGTGGCGTTTCTCCCCCGACCCCCCAAATTCCCAAAAAATCCGAATCCCCCGAGTTAATTTTGTGCCTCCCCGTGTGTGTGTGTCCGTAACCCCCGAGTTCTCCGTGTTGTCCGTGCTCGGGGAGGAGCTGGTGGGGTTCCCTGCCCGTGCCAGGGGATTCCTGCTGCTCCCTGGACGTCCTGGAGCTCCGTTGGTGCCGGAGGAGCCGTGGGGGGTTTGCGCCATAAAGCCTCTTGTTTTGTTTTCAGCATTCTTCCATGCTGGGCAGTGTTTTTGGGGACTCCTATTATGAGCAGCAGATGACAGCTAGGCAGGCTAATGCCCTCTCCCACCAGGTGAGCAAATTCATCTCGGCCCCAGCGGCCTCTTCCACCTTCAAATTAAGATCAATTAATTCCTAATTATTCTGTGTCGCAGCACGTTCTGTCCACGTAGAGTTTTCCCCTCTGTTCTTTTTAGTTTCTGGCACTCAGGAGTTTCTTTTCTTGTTTTGTTTGGTTTCCCCTCTGCATCCTTTTCCTCGCCCCTCATAGCTGCAGGTGTTTGTAAAGTTGTTCCTCCAACCTTTGCGTTGAAAAGGAGTGAAAATCAGGAAAAAAATTAAAATTACAAACATTTAAAAATAAAACTGAGAAAAATCGACTTTTCAAAGGAAAAATAATGATGGGAAATTAAAAAAAAAAAAAAATCCATTTTAAAAAAGAAAAAGTGAAAAGAAATTTTAAAACGATGAGAATTTTTAGAAAGGAAAAATAATGAAATTTAAAAAAAAATCCATTTTAAAAAAGAAAAAGTGAAGAGAAATTTTGAAACTATGAAAATTTTTAAAAAGGAAAAATAATGAAATTTTTTTTAAAAAAATCGGTCTTAGAAAAAATGAAAAGAAATTTTGAAACTATGAGAATTTTTAAAAAGGAAAAATAATGAAATTTTTTTTTAAAAAAAATCTGTTTTAAAAAAGAAAAAGTGAAAAGAAATTTTGAAACTATGAAAATTTTTAGAAAGGAAAAATAATGAAATTTTTTTTAAAAAAATCTGTCTTAAGAAGAAGAGTGAAAAGAAATTTTGAAAATGATGAAAAGTTTTAAGGAAAAATAAATGACATTTAAAAAAAATCCATTTTAAAAAAGAGTGAAAAGAAATTTTAAAATGATGAAAATTTTTAAAAAGGAAAAATAATGACAATTTTTAAAAAAAAGTCTGTCTTAAGAAAAAGAGTGAAAAGAAATTTTGAAAATAATGAAAAGTTTTGAAAAGATAAAATAATGAAATTTTTTTTTCAGAAAAAATCCATTTTAAAAAAGAAAAAGTGAAAAGAAATTTTGAAAACGATGAAAATTTTTAAAAAGGAAAAATAATAAAATCCGAAAGAGGAAAAAGGAACGGAAAGTAAATTTGAAAATAACGAAAATAAATTTGAAAAGGGCAAAAAAAAAAATTAAATTTTTTAAGTAGTGAAAATAATTTTTGAAAAATTTTGAATGCCGAAAATTTTTGAACGTAATGAAAATATAAACATAATGAAAATATTAACATAATGAAAATATAAACATAATGAAAATATAAACATAACAAAAATATAAACATAACGAAAATATAAACATAATGAAAATATAAACATAGTGAAAATATAAACATAATGCAAAATTAAAATAATGAGAAGCCCTGTTTGAAGCTGCCCATCTCTGGCCATAGCTGCAGTTGGGGAAGGGTTCACTTGTAGGTTGGGAACAAGATTGACTCCTGAATTTGCAAATAACCCACTCCTGGGGCCCAAAAATTGCTCTTGGTTTGGCCAACCAGAGCATGGATTGAGTAAATTATGGAATAATTAACCTGGGATGTGTTCCCAGAGGGAATGCTGGTGGGCAGAGCCCTCAGGCAGAGCGTGGAATTCCATTTATTTTCCATCGAAAGCTCCCTTTTGTTTCGTTCTTCCAACATCCACCGCCCCGGTTTGGTTTTCCCATCCCTCATCCCCCCCCCTCCTCCGGATTGGGCAGGAAACATTCCGGAAAGCTCCGAGTGGCCTGCCCTGCATTCGTGCGGGCTTTTCTAAAAAGGAAATTGTTTGTGTGTCTCTCTCTCTCTCTCTCTCTCTCTCTCACGTCACGTCCCGTCCTCGAGCCTTGTCGAGTTGTTTGGCCGCAATTCCCGAGGGCCGGGAGTGACAATTCCCTTTGTGCCCTTGGTGTGCAGCTGGAGCAGTTCAACATGATCGAGAACGCCATCAGCTCCAACAGCCTCTACAGCCCCTGCTCCACCCTCAACTACTCCCAGGCTGCCATGATGGGACTGACGGGCAGCCACGGCAGCCTCCAGGACTCGCAGCAGCTCAACTACTCCAGCCACGGGAACATCCCCAACATCATCCTGACAGGTACAGCTCGGCTGGGAATGTCGTCCTGCCGGAGCCAGGGGGGAGGGAGGGGATGGTCCCGCTCTGCTCCAGGCTGGAATGGCCTCACCTCGAGTCCTGAGGGCTCTTTGGACTCCACGAGGGTCTAAAGCTGCTGGAGGATTCCAGAGGAGGGACAGGGAGCTGGGGAAGGGGCTGGGGAGCAGCTGAGGGCACTGGGTTTGTTCAGCTGGAGCTGAGGGGAGACTCCTGGGGGGCTGCAGCTTCTCCCGAGGGGCAGCTCCAAGCTCTGCTCTCTGTGAGCAGGGACAGGACCCAGGGAATGGCCTGGAGCTGTGCCAGGGGGGTTTGGGATGGATCTCAGGGAAAGGTTCTTCCCCCAGAGGGTGCTGGGGCACTGCGAGGCTCCCCAGGGCAGTGGGCATGGCCCCAAGGCTGCCAGAGCTCCAGGAGGGTTTGGATGATCCTGTGAGAGACAGGGTGGGATTGTTGGGGTATCTGGGCAGGGCCAGGAGCTGGACTGGATGGTGCTTGAGGGTCCCTTCCAGCTCAGGACATTCCATGATTCCATGATCCAGGTTTCCTTCAGCGCAGAGATCACCTGTCCCATGGGCAGAGTGAAGAGGGAACGTGGGACAGGCTCAGGTCAGAGTGTCACATATGGTGGCGAATCTGGTCACAGTTGGATTTTGGAAACAGTCCCTGCACAGGGACACAGAGACAACTGTTGGCTCAGTCCGTGCTGCAGGCAGGCATTGCTGTTTGGAATCATGGAAATTAAGGTTGTTCCTCCTAAACCTGAGGGAGAGAAAAGAGACACCAGACACAGAGGCGGGAATTTTGCTTTGTGTTTGGTCGTTCTGATGGTTTGGGGAAGCTGTGAGGAACCTGTAATTCATCCAGTTGGGAAAGAGGGTGGATGTCCTTCGTGTGATGAGGATAGTCCTTTGTGTGATGAGGATGGTCCTTTGTGTGATGAGGATGTCCCTGGTGTGATGAGGATGGTCTTTGTGTGATGAGATTGTCCCTTGTGGGATGAGGATGCTCCTCATGTGAGGAGGATGTCCCTCCTGTCATGAGGATGTCCCTCATGTGAGAAGGATGTCCCTGCTGTGATGAGGATGTCCCTACTGTGATGAGGATGTCCCTCCTGTCATGAGGATGTCGCTGCTGTGATGAGGATGTCCCTGGTGTGATGAGTGTGTTCTCCATCTGAGCTTCAGCCTTAGCTCAGTCAATAACTCCGGAGCTTTGGAGCTCTTTGTGGCTTGCTTGCCTGGTGGGTGTGTGTTTTGGGAAGTCCTGGTGACACATCTCCATTTTCCTCCCCGCAGTGACAGGAGAATCTCCCCCCAGCCTATCAAAAGAACTGACCAGCTCTCTGGCGGGAGTGGGGGACGTCAGCTTCGACACGGATTCCCAGTTCCCCCTGGACGAACTCAAAATTGACCCCTTGACCTTGGATGGACTGCACATGCTCAACGACCCCGACATGGTCCTCACCGACCCCGCCACAGAGGACACGTTCCGGATGGACCGGCTGTGAGGGGACCGGGGCCACCGGGGCCGCCCCGCGCGTCCCCCCCCGTCCCCCAGGTCGCGCTTGTCGTCCCGAGCTTGCCGCGCTGCAGCCCCCCCGCCCCGCCCGGCGTCCCCCCCGCGCTGCCGGTCACCAGTAAGGAGTTTCCATCAGCCTTTCCCTCCCTTTTCCCTTCCTCCTCCTCCTCCTCCTCCCCCCGAAAAGCTCCAGCGTGACGTTGTCGGTGTCTCCTTTGCACTAAGGGAAGAAGGGGCTGGGGAAGGTCGAGAGGTTTCTGGCACCAACACCCCGATTTTTTTTTTTGGCTGCTGGTTGAGGCGGGGAGGGGGCGGCCCCGTGTGTGCCCCTTCCCCTGTCCCCTCCAGCAGCACCCCCAGCATTGTGACTCTGCTTTGTGACACCTCCTTCGTAGGCTGAAAGGCTCCTTCCTTCCCCCTCCGTGCCGTGTTTGTCCCCAGGTGTGTCCCCACCCTGGTGTCCCCTTCCCTCCTCAAAGCAGAGCAGCCAAAACCCCCCAAAAAATCCACCATAAACACTATTTTCCCCGCTTTTTTTTTTTTTTTTTTTTTTTAATTATTTTATTTTTTTGTTGTTTTTTGGTTTTTTTTAAATATATATGTAATATATATATATTTCTATATATGTCTACATATATAGAGAGCATTTCTGAGCACACAAAAAAGTACTATAATTCATTACTTGATTAGCACGGAGGAAGGATCAGAGCATTTTAAAGCAGCTAAAAAAAAAAAAAAAATATATAGAGGAGACTAACCTGCATAATTCTAATTTTACTCTGTGAGAGAGATTCCTGGGCAACAGGAAGGGCATTCCCATAGCAATGCCAGGCTTGTTAGAATCATGATGACTTATTTTTTATTTTTTATTCATTACTTATTCTGTTACTTATTTATGATTCTTTTGTCGTTGTCGTTGTTCTTTTTTTTTTATTATTATTATTATTATTATTTAAATATTTGGATATTAGAAAAGTAGCTAAACTACATACAGCCAATTGAAGCACTCTACATACTACTTGTACAGTACATCTTTTTGTGGTTTTATTCCAGAAATATATTATATATATTATATATATAGGTATTTTTAAAACTAACTGGAATTTTAAACAGGTGTTGAGCAGAAATAAGGAAGCTTAAGGCAAGTTTAGATGTTTTCCTTTGAAAAAACAGGCAAAATAGGGTGGCAGGAACTTAGATATTCCTTCTTTCACCCCGGAGGAAAAAATCTCTTGCTCCACAGTGACCAGGATTGAATCCTCCAAAAGGCTGAGATTCTGTTCAGTTCAGTGGATAATTGACTATTTCTGGTAGTCCTTGTGAATATTCTGTGCTGCAGCATTAAAAAATCCCACCCAAACCCCCCCGCTTTGACTGGGAATTGGTGGTTTCACTCCCATGTCGTGGCTGGATTGATGGTGATTCCCAGATTTCTGCTCTTGGGTCTCATAAAAAAGTGAATTTCAGGATTTCTTGGGGACTGCTGGTCCCTGGTGGGGCACGGAGGGACCGTCCTGGTTCCCCTGGGATCTGCCCAGGGACAGGATCTCCCAGCACCTCTTCAGGAGTCGGGAATTCACGGGGAATTAACATTATTTTGAGTCTCATCAGCAAATTAAACCCACAACCCCCCCCCCGAGGGTGGAGAGGGAAGCACTTCCAGGTGGGAGGGGCCGAGCAGCCACATGGATTTTGTCACCTGTCCCCTCAGCAAAGCCCCATCTCCATTCCCAGTTCAGCCCAGTTGGAGTTGGTTGATCCCCAGCTGCTCTTCCCGCTCCTCCCGCATCACCCGGATTTGCTTTTTGCCTGAAAACCCCTCCCTTTCTCAGCTCTTTCAGGCAAAACACAACAACCCTCAAGCAAAAAAAAAACAAAACCCAACCCCTCAAGGAAAAAAAACCCCAACCCCTCAAGCAAAAAAAAAACCCCCTCAGCACTTCCCCCCATCCCAGGAAGGTTTTCCACGTTTCCAGCGAGGGAGGAGCCGGGCTGCTCGTGAGGAGTTACCCCTCGATTAACGAGTTACCCTGCAATTAAGGAGTTCTAACTGCTCTCCAGGAGTTACTCTGCTCCTAATGAGTTATACTAGGTTTCTGTGTGCTTCCAGAAATCCGTGGGCTGCCATCCCGAGATTCCTGCCGACCCTGCGGAGCGGGATCGTGGTGGGAGATCTCTCTGATCCCGGTGTGTTCGCTCACGTTTTGTGCCATTTGTTGACCATTTGCACTAAAAATGTGTGGGTTTTTTTTTTTTCTCCTTTGATCTCTTGGTTTTCTCCTGTCTTTTTTTTTTTTTCCCCCCCCCCCCTCCGAGGGTTTTCCCTCCAATCTCCCGAAAACGTTTTGGGTTTTTTTTTGGGGGGGGGGGGGGGGCAGGATTTAAGCCCGGTTAGTCCGTGTTGACTCTTGCTGGCTGCTCCTTTCAGATGGCTAATGCTTTTCCAATTTAAGGAGGAGATAAAAGGCAGCTCATCCTGAAAAAAAAACCCACAAAAACCAGGAGGAGGGATTTGGGCACAAAGGTGACTCGGAGCCCTTTGCTGAAGGTGCTGGAAACGCTTCCCGCCGCTCCCGTAGCTCCAGGGGGGGGAATCTCTGTGTCGCTCTCCCGTTGGAATGGCTCTCGTGCATGTGTAATTCCTTGTCTGTGATCTATTTTTTTAAAGCCAGAGTCACTTCAGAGTGTGAAGCATCCGAGCAGGAGCTGAGATTCCTCCCAGGGGGAGCCGTGGATCCCACGCTCCTCCCCGGTTTTTTAACTCCCGTGTGTACATAAGAGCTCTTTTTGTTTCTTGGACTTGTAAGTAGACATTGCAAACGGCCTTAATTTCGGACTAACACATCTTGGATGCAACTGTGGGAATTAGGGACCATCCAGCTGAGAGAAATCCAGGTTTTACTCCCTTTGTGTGGGCCTTTGGGGAGAGGGAAGGAGCAGGTGACGTCGTTGTGGGAATGCTGTGACGGGATGTGTTGGATCCCCTGTGGATCCTCATGTTCAGGGAGGTAAAAGCTGCTTTTCATCCCAACGCTTTGAGATCCGGGGAAGGAATTCCAGCAGCTCCTGCCTTTCCCTTCCCCAAGGGGAACCTTCCCCCCCAAGGTTTCCTGACACACATCACGTAGGAGCTGCCCCAGGGGGGGTTTTCCCCCCCTTCTCCCCTTAAAATTCTGTTTTCTGTGGCATCAGGCTGATCTGAAGCAACCCCAGATCTGGTGGGGTTGTCAGATGGAAATGTGGAGAGGATCCCAAGTGTTTCCAGAACAAATAATGGGATTTTTATGTCCAGTTTAGCAGTCCTGTTCTCATTTTAAACGGGGTGTGTGTGAGGGTCCCTTCCCACCAGGCACTGGTGGGAGCAGGAGGAGCAGCAGAAAGGGAAGAAAACCATCACTTAGCAAAAAAAAAAAAAAACCCCAACCCAATATCAAGAAGAAAATAGTGTTATTGATATTATTGATAAGTTTTGAGTTAAATGCTGTTGAAACTGTCTGGTGTCTCAAAGGGTGACTGTCCAAACATCCCTGCTGAGTGAACCCCACCCTCCCTACATGTGTTTTTATATCTCTCTCTCTATATATATATATAAATTAATTAAAAAATTCCCAAGCTAGACTGTTGCATTTGCCAATACAATGGGGAATAACAGGAATAAACCTTGGGCTTATCAAAAACTGTGATTTTTTTTTTTTTAATATTTTTTTCTTTTTTTTTTTGTTTTTCTTTTTTCAGAAGCAAACCCCCAGCCCTCGTGCTGGTTGGGTGGGGTTGTGGGGGGAGGCTCTTTTTCCCTGTACATAGTTTTCCCCTCCGTGCTCCCTCCTCTTCCCGCTGGCTCCCGCATGTGTGATCCGGGCCCGGCTCCCACACGGCTTCTGCATGGCAGGGAGCTCTTGCCAGCCCTCCTTCCCCCCTCCCCAGTGCCACCCCTGCCCTGCACACACAGCCTCGGGCTGGCCTTTGTTCCCCAGTTTTTATTTTGGGTTCAAAGAGGGGGGGGGGAAAGGTTTCCAGAAAGAGGCTGCCGAGAAATCGTTCATTCTTTGTGTGTTTTTTTTGATTGAAATTTAATGGCTTCAATTAACTGATTTTAAAGGAGCCTGGAACGCTCCTGGGTGAACCTCAAGCTCAGAGGAGGTTGGATTTGATGATCCTGCAGGTCTTTTCCAACCTGGATTTGGTGATTCTTTCCCAACCTTGATTCAGTGATTATTTCCCAACCTTGATTTGATGATTCTTTCCCAACCTTGATTCAATGATTCTTTTCCAACCTGGATTTGATGATTCTTTTCCAACCTGGATTTGATGATTCTTTTCCAACCTGAATTTGGTGATTCTTTTCCAACCTGAATTTGGTGATTCTTTTCCAACCTGGATTTGGTGATTCTTTCCCAACCTGGATTTGGTGATTCTTTTCCAAACTTGATTAAATCATTCTTTTCCAACCTTGATTTGGCGATTCTTTTCCAACCTTGACTCAATAATTCTTTCCCAACCTTGATTCAATGATTCTTTTCCAACCTTGATTCAGTGATTCTTTTCCAACCTAAATTTGGTGGTTCTTTTCCAACCTGGATTTGGTGATTATTTCCCAACTTTGGTTCAATGATTCTTTTCCAGCCTGGATTTGATGATTCTTTTCCAAACTGAATTTGGTGATTCTTTTCCAAACTGAATTTGGTGATTATTTCCCAACCTTGATTCAATGATTCTTTCCCAACCTGGATTTGGTGATTCTTTCCCAACCTGAAGTTGGTGATTCTTTCCCAACCTTGACTCAGTACCTTTTTTCCCAACCATGACTCGGTGACTCCAAGACCAGGAGCTGCCCCAATTTCCCTAAAGCAGCACCCGATAACACCCAAAATCCCTGACATTTCCCTCAAAAAACAAACGGCGTGGCCGTAAAAACCCGGATTTCCCTAGAAACAACAATTCAGGCTTGAGCTCTGCCCCTTAAGGAAAGACCCTGGACACGAAGGAAGCGGAAAGGCCCCTCCTCACCCCTTAGGCCCCGACCTACTCCATGCTTTTTTTTTGGGGAGAAAAAGCCTAAAAACCAGCGCGTTTATTCCTCGGAGCAACGGCCCCCCCCCGTCACTGTGATGGCAATGTGAGAGCGCAGGTAGCCTTTGTTACGTGTGTCTGTTCTTTTTAAAAAAAAAAAAACAACAAAAACCCTAAAAAAAAACCACAACCCCTTCCCTTTAGAATGAACTTTGTAGTGTTCCTGTTCTTTGTATTTTGAGTTGCATCCTTATTTATAAAATAACGGCGCAGTGTAGGCATGGATTTGCATGTCGGGGTTTTTTCTACGCGGGGGGCAACCACGACGTTCTGACTGTGTATTATACTAGAAACCATTTTTACCTTTTTAAACAGAAGGAGAAAAAAAAAACAGAAACAAAACTGAAAAAAATCCAAACAAAAAACCCACCCAAACCCAAGAAAAACCAAACAACAAAAAAAAAATACCCAACCCAACGAAGCTTTGTGTGGAATTTCTATACTGCAAAGCCCAACACTACATGGACGTCCTTCCTCTCTCTCTCTCTCTCTCTCTGTCTTTCTCTCTCTCTCTCTTTCTCTCTCTCCTCGTTTGTGTTATTTATTTCCCCAGGCGGGTTCGGGGCGGGCGGGGGGGGCGTGGTGTGCGTTGCCTTATGTGGGCTTGACCAATTTTATCAAAATAAAGGCCTGAAGGGGTTCAAAATCCGTCGGCTGTTTTCTTCGGCGAGCGGTGGAGGGCACTCGGATGAACCCGGTGGGAAGGGGAGAGAATTCCATGGCTCAGCAGGGCTGGACAAGATGTGGCGTGTGGGGACTGGGACGGGGAGTGGGGTCTGCTGGAGTGTGTAGGAGCCCAAGTCCTAGAATTCCAGAATATCCTCAGTTGGATCCACAAGGATCATCAGTGGCCCTGCATGGGACACGCCAGCAATCCCACGATCACGGAATAGCTGGGTTGGGATAGTGGGGAGGGACCTCTGGAGGTCACTTGGTCCAACCCCCTGCCCAGGCAGGGTCACCTGGAGCAGAGGCACATCCAGGTGGGTTTGGAATGTCTCCAGGAAGGGAGACTCCACGCCCTCCCTGGGCAGCTGTCCCAGTGCTCTCCACCCTCCATGGGAAGAGGTCGAGGTGGAACTTCCATCCTGTCCCTCGGAGCGTTGTCCAAACCCTCCTGGAGCTCTGGCAGCCTTGGGGCCATGCCCACTGCCCTGGGGAGCCTGGGCAGTGCCCCACCACCCTCTGGGGGAAGAACCTTTCCCTGAGATCCACCTTAACCCTGCCCTGGAATTCTGGCCAAGTGCAGCCTTTGCCCTCGACTCTCCAGGAGGAGGAGATGTGTGTTCCCACTGTTTGGTGACAGGCAGCAGCAGCAGCACATCCAGTGTGTGGGGCTCATCCCACAGCCTCGTTCCAGAGGGGGAATTCTGTTCAGTCCTGCCCAAACCAGGAGCAACTCTCCCAATAGCATGAGCAGGTTTCAGGGTAATTACCATGGTGAGCACCTTGAACCTGCAGCATCTTGCAGAATTCAGCTTTTATTGGCTCTCCAGGCAGGCTGAGGTGCTGCTTGGGGGGGGGGGGGGGGGGGGGGAGTTGGTTACCTGGCAGGGACAGGGATTTAAGGGATTTAAGGCTCCCCAGGTTTCCAGCTCTGGAAACCCTTTGGCTGCTCCTCCCAGCTCCCACGACGTGGATGGGAGCAGTTTTTCCAGCTCCTCGGCTGCCTGTGGGAGTCCTGGCAGGTTCCATGAGGCAAACCAAGCCTAAAGCTTTCATTGCTTGTTCTGAGGAGACCCAGGGAGGGCAGGCCAAGGAGAGGGAGGTTCTTCAGGAAAAGGTGCCAAGAAAATTCCCAACCTGGACTCTCCCAGTCCCACCGATTCCAGCCTTTGGGGGTCTCTCTTACACATCTGTGAGGGAAAACCTCCAGAGGAGGCACAAGAACACACACCTGACCAAGGAGGAATCTAGTTATTTATTATCCAACATCCCAGAACAAAGATACTCTCCTTAAAGTGCCTTTTTTTTGTTGTTTTTTTAATTATTTTTAACGAGCAACTTTGTGCCGAGGCTGCTCCCCCCGTGTCCTCCTCACGCTGGCACTGGCTTTGCTTTGCAGCAGGTCTTGAAAAGGAGAACAAACATTCATTCACACTTGGAGTGGGGAAAAACATTCCTGGGGATCATCCACGCTAAGCTCACTCCAACAATCCCGGCTGCTGCAGGGGGGGGCTTCCAGCAGATCTTTTCCCAGTGGGATCTGCAGCAGCTCAGGCTTCTGGGCCACACTCACTGTCTCCCCTCTGCCCTTCCCAGAGGGTTCTTGTAGCATGAAAAGGGAGTTGCTGTCGAGGGAGAGGTGCTGGAGGTGCTGTGAGGGCGCAGCAGGACGTGCTGATGGTTCTTCCTATGGAATTCCAGAGCGGGAGCGGGGTCCGGGGAAGCAGGATGGGCTGGCTCCGTCGAGGGGCTGTTAGTCCTGCTGGACTCGGAAGGTCTCGTAGTCCTCGGGGATGGTGTCTGGGGAGAGGAAAACAGGCAGGGATGAGGGGCAGGAAGAGCAGTGGAAAGCAGGAGCAGCTGCTGGGGGATGTCCCAGCCTTGGGGGTGGCCCCGGGATGAAGGAACAACCTGGAAAGCAAAACAGCCCAAGTGTCCCTACTCGGGTTTGGGAACCCACCGTTGCAGCGGTAGCGCAGGTTGGACCAGATGATGTTCTCCTGGGAGAAGCAGAAGACCCCGAGGCGTCCCCCTCGCATGGTGGTGTCCAGGACCACTCCGGTGTCTGCCACGACCTCGGGGCCCTCGTAGAAACGAGCCCTGGGGGACAACAGGGCTGTGAACACGAGACCTCCCCGGGCAACGGGGCTACCCCACCCCTGAGAGCATCCAAGGCCAGGATGGAGCACCCCAGGATAGCGGGAGGTGTCCCTGCCCACGTCCCTGGATGAGCTTTAAGGTCCCTTCCGACCCCACCCGTCCTGGGATTCCACGAGGCTCATTTTCCCTGTGGAATTTGCTCTCAGGAGGACGCTGTCCCTCCTCTCCCCTTTTGTGTCCAACCCCCCCCTGAGCTGAGCAGGGGGAGTTCTCTGCAGCCCCTCACCTGATGTACCCGACCTGGGGCCGGTGCTGCAGGAACCAGCGATAGGACGTCTTGTCCTTCCAGCCGGAATTCCGAGGGTCCTTCCAGAGCAGCTTCACCTGGTCAGTGGTGTCTCCCGTGTGCCAGAGGGAATTCCGGAGATACTCACCTGGGCCCGTTTTGGACTTCACTGCCTGGGGTGGGGAAGAGGCTGCTCAGTGTGTGGGTGAAGGCCTGGAGCTGCCACCGCCGCTTCTCCCGAAAAGGGCACAAAAATCCCCCGTGGGATTTTTTTTTTCCCTTGGTTTCTTTACCTTCAGCTGAATTCCAGGTTCTGCTACTGCTCGGAAGGGGTTTGCCTGCCAGTAGGTCTGTTCCATCTGCTTCCACATGACCACGTAGAAGCTGGAGCTGTCCTGGTACCCAAATATGAACCCGGCGTAGTCGTCGTCTGTGGCCGTGTTGACGTGGAAGGTGCCCTCAAAGTCCACCCCGTTGAATGCTGTGTAACCTGGTGGGAGAACAACCCCTCTGTGTGCCAAGACAGAAGGCTGATCCATTTTTTTTATGGATTCAGGACAGGGGATGGATTTTGCCCAGTGAAATCTGAGGGTTTCTTTACTACACAAAGTGTTTTGTAGGAGGTGGAGGGAGTCGTTAAGTCGCGGCTGAAACACCCGTCAGGGCTGCACTGAGGGGTGATTTTCCAACAGGACAAAGGGAATTCCTCACCTACAGCCAGGCCAGGATCGCTGTTCATGGTCTGGACAATCTCCATGCCCTGAGGAAGAGGAAGGTTGACTCATTAGTGCTGTTCCAAACATGCCAACCTCCCTCAGCACTCCAGGATCCGGGAACTGTCGAACAGCGCCACGAAACCTGCAGAGCCTTCCAAGGAAAACTGCATCCCACCCGTGCTGGGACACTCTCCTACCTGGTTGAGGACGATCCAGTTGGGGTCAATCTGTGCATCCCCCTCGGGGTCCAACACCACGGTCTGGAAAGCCCTGAAGTCCGTGAGCGTCACCTCGGCGTTCTCGGGGCACACGTCGATCCTGTCGATCACCATGTCCCTGTCGAAGTCGTCCTCGCACAGGTTCCCCACGCCGTCCCCTGGGGGCACGAGAGGAGGAGCGATGAGCTCTCCACGGGTTCTCCTGCCCCTCACACCCGGGTTTGCTCAGTTTGGAGTCCCAGGCGCCGCAGGGGGAGGTTTGGAGCGCTGGGATGCTCCGAGGCAGCTGCAGAGAAACCCGGAGGCTTCTCCTGCTCTGAGCAGAGAAACCCCTCAACCCACAGACACCTCTGGAGGAGAAACTTTCCCAGGCATGACCCTGATGGCAGGGCTGTGGGATCTGAACCTGTCCCAGCTCTGAATCCCTGTGGATCTCCAGGAGAATCCATTTCCTTACCATCTGAGTCCTCCTGGCCGGGGTTGGGGACCAGCCTGCAGTTGTCGGGGCCCGGGGGTTTCACATCTGGGATCCCATCATCATCATCATCGTCATCACACTCGTCCCCCACCCCGTCGTTGTCCGTGTCCACCTGGGAGCTGTTGGGCACTGTGGGGCAGTTATCCCGGGAATCCTGGTGGCCGTCCCCGTCGCTGGCAGGGAGACAAGGGCAGGGAAAAAGGTTACCCACTGCCAGGTGCTTTGGAACAAGCAGGGAAAACCTTCCCAGGAGCTGGGATCCTCGGCAGGAGCAGCAGGACTGGGTGGTTTCAGCTTTAAGGAGCCTCTGGGTGTTGGTTACACCCAAAACAGATCGGAAATAATTCCCGCTGGGAAACCCAGGGAGGGGTCCATCCTTCCACTGGCTGCTTTTTTGGGGGGGGGTCTGAAGAAAGTTCCACTTCTCTTAACCTCTTAATCTTTTTTACTGGGTAAGGCCAAACCAGACTGTCCCTTTTTCTCCCTTCTTCCCCCCCAGGATTCCACACAGACAGGGGGGATTTTTGCAGCGAGGCCTCACCTGTCCTGGTTGGTGTCACAGACATCTCCCACCAGGTCGTGGTCGGTGTCTTTCTGCCAAAATAAAGGAAGGACAATTTAAATTTCCCACAGATCAAGAGGAGGAACAGGCAAGAGAGAGAACAGAGGGAGAGCTGCCCAGGGGGGAAGGTTTCTGTGGGATTTACAAGCTGCTGTGGCCGAACACGGATGAACAGGGAAGGAAGGGAGAGCCTAGAGTGCAAAACTTCCTCTCTGAGATGATGTTTGCTCTCAAGGGAACGTCCTTTTGTGCTGCAGGGTGGCAGCCAAAATGTGCCAGAGGTGCTCTGGGTGAGTCCCCAGGA